TTAATTTTGAATCCCAGTCTCCTCTTTACTTCTAGCGTGCAATTTTTATATGAAAATACAACGTTTTCACACGTGAAATTGAAAAACGTTTCCAAGCGTTGTAGACAAAAAGCTTGCACCTAAATTAAATAATATGTTCTCAAAAAGTTAATAAAAATTATCACATAAACTGAATGAATTCTTTACACATAAAGCTGATCAAACGTTTTTACGTAAAGTTATTAAAACTGTTTAACGTTAAGGAAATAATACGTTTTCACTTGAAGTTAATAAACGTTTTTCATCATCATACAACTCACAGGCACTGAAAATTAATTTTTTTGGTAAAAAATGGGCCATGATTTTTTCCAGGATTATGGCGCCACTTTTTTTTATCAACGCGGTAATTTTAATTTTATTTTACAAAGTTTTTTGTTCATTTTTTCCATAAATAATTCGTGAATGTAAGGTAATATTCTCCGGTTAATGAAGATATTTTGAATTTTCAAAAAATATTTTATTTAATAGATGGATTTAATTGTTTTACATAAGACTTTGCGAATATTTCTTCGAAATACAAAGCATCTTTTATCTTATCTATGATACTATGTTATCTTTTTTTATTCATTTAATTCAAGTCTCCATCAAGATAATAAATATTTCACATGGTAGATTGAATGAAAAAAACGTATATATGAAATTCTAAACGAAAAACAAATATTGAGAGTCACGAATATTATGGAAACTTTTTGAATATTGAAATTACTTTTAATTGCGATAATTGATAGTAGTTAGATATAGAAATTTATATAATAGAAATCTAAGAGCGAAAAAATATAATTTACAAAAATTCACCATATCTTTACAAAAAGGCATTCAATAAAGAATGAATCTCTTTGCTTTTAAATTCCTATTGAATTCCCATTGAAGTACACATGCGTGAGCGGTAATTTTAATTTTATTTTACAAAGTTTTTTGTAAAATAGAAATGTATAAAATAGAAATTCAGAAGAAAAAAATATAATATACAGAAATTTACCATATCTTTATAAAAAGGCATTCTATAAAGAATGAATCTCTTTGCTTTTAAATTCCTATTGAATTTTCGATTGAAGTACACAGGCGTTAAATTAATACAGGTGTACATGTATAGCACCATTACAGCTGGAGGTTCAGAGCAGCACTAATTAATACAGATGCGTACGTCTGCTGCTGCAGCTGCGCAGGAAGCTGCTGCTCTAATCTCGCCAGGATGTGTAAAGTCGCCAGGCATAACAAGTGCGAGTCTTGTGAGGTATCTTTGTGAGGGGACTTTGTGAGTAAGACTTTGTGAGTGAGACTTTGTGAGTGAGACTTTGTGAGTGAGACTTTATGAGTGAGACTTTGTGAGTGGGACTTTGTGAGTGAGACTTTGTGAGTGGGACTTTGTGAGTGGGACTTTGTGAGTGGGACATTGTGAGGTGTCTTTGTGAGTGGGACTTTGTGAGTGAGACTTTGTGAGTGGGACTTTGTGAGTGGGACTTTGTGAGTGAGACTTTGTGAGTGAGACTTTGTGAGTGAGACTGTGAATGAGACTTTGTGAGTGAGACTTTGTGAGTAGAACTTGTGAGAGAGACTTTGTGAGTGAGACTTTGTGAGGGGACTTTGTGAGTGAGACTTTGTGAGTGAGACTTTGTTAGGGGACTTTGTAAGTGAGACTTTGTGAGGGGAGTTTGTGAGTGAGACTTTGTGAGTAAGACTTTGTGAGTGAGACTTTGTTAGGGGACTTTGTAAGTGAGACTTTGTGAGGGGACTTTGTGAGTGAGACTTTGTGAGTGAGACTTGTGAGTGAGACTTTGTGAGTGAGACTTTGTGAGGGAGACTTTGTGAGTGAGACTTTGTGAGTGAGACTTTGTGAGTGAGACTTTGTGAGTGGAGTGATACTTTGTGAGTGAGACTTTGTTAGGGGACTTTGTAGTGAGACTTTGTGAGTGGGACTATGAGTGAGACTTTGTGAGTGGGACCTTGTGAGACTTTGTGAGTGAGACTTGTGAGTGAGACTTTGTGAGTAAGACTTTGTGAGTGAGACTTTACAGCGTAGCACAATTGAAACAAGTTTGTTAATGGGAAATACAGACTTGGAATATGAAAATGAATATATCAATGTATTATATATCACAGCATTTCCCATTTTTTAAAAGTATATTAAAAAATCTCTTTTTTTTTTAATGGAGACAGAAATGGTGCATTGTATTACATGATTCTTGAATGTTTTCAAAAATAAATTTTTCGACAGGAAACTTATTTACGTTTATAATATGAGTTTGTTTTTCTTTGCTATTTTCTAAAGAATATCTCGAAATATTAACGGGTTGATTCAGTTTCGTAGTTTTCTAAACAATAAATATTTAAAAAATTCCTGAAATATTCAAACGTATGTGGTATAATGTATATAATATTCATGAATGTTCGTAAGCTAATTTAGATAATGAAGCGAAAATCAACATTAATGAGATAATCAAAAGAAAATATTTACTAATGTGCGCATTTAAATATCCATAACACCGGATAATCACCCAAAAATATCACACAGCCTCCATAGGCCTGTGTTGTTTGCCCAATCCTTTGTATCCTGTTGACTCCTACAGCGCTGTAGTGCGCAGTATACTATAGTCCTAGTATCCTTCAATAGTTTCCTGGCATCCTACGAACCTAAATAATTTATTATCCTTCCTAAAAAATAATATAATTTTTTATACAAGGATTTTGATAATGTTAGCGTGAAATGCGTTAGCATGCAAACATGAAATCTGTTTATTGAAATAATTACTGAAATATATAGAAGGTTTCCCGTAGACTTTAGTTAAATTCACGACGAAATGTTACGCGCAATATCCGCAGACTTATGACGAAAAGTACGGAAATACGGAAAAGTACTTTAAAAGCGGTTTACAATAGCGGTGTACAATAAAAGTTTACAATAGCGGTTAAAAATAGCGGTTTACAATGGCAGTTTACAATAGCGGTTTATAATAGCGGTTACCAATAGCAGTTTACAATAGCAGTTTAAAATAGCGGTTTACAATAGCAGTTTACAATAGCGGTTTACAATAGCAGTTTAAAATAGCAGTTTACAATAGCAGTTTACAATAGCGGTTTACAATAGCAGTTTACAATAGCGGTTTGCAATAACGGTTTTGAATAGTGGTTTACAATAACGGTTTACCATAGCAGTTTATAATAGCGGTTTACAATAGCAGTTTAAAATAGCGGTTTACAATGGCAGTTTACAATAGCGGTTTATAATAGCAGTTTAAAATAGCGGTTTACAATGGCAATTTACATTAGCGGTTTACAATGACAGTTTACAATAGCGGTTTACAATGACAGTTTAAAATAGCGGTTTATAATAGCGGTTTACAATGGCAATTTACAATAGCGGTTTACAATGACAGTTTACAATAGCGGTTTATAATAGCGGTTTACAATAGCAGTATACAAGGGTGGCTTACAATAGCGGTTTACAAATAGCAGTTTACAATAACGGTTTACAATAGCGGTTTACAATAGCAGTTTACAATAGCGGTTTACAATAGCAGTTTACAATAGCGGTTTACAATAGTGGTATACAATATCAATTTACAATAGCAGTTTACAATATCGGTTTACAATATCGGTTTACAATAGCGGTTTACAATAGCGGTGTCAGCGTTCGTTAGGCCGTAGGCCTGTCGCCGATTCGTAACATCGCATTGCATTCACAGCTTGTAACAGGTCTCGAACACGTAACTCACTGCTCCAAGTTGATGCAAGAGCAGTTGGCATAAACAAATCTCTGCAAACTGCAAAAGAATACAACTATTCAATGAAATTTTGTACTTGTACACTGAGAGAAATGGGTGGGTCTGGATGACCCACTTTGATGAGTCAACCGCGTCCGAATATCGATGCAGTTTTTCGACTCACTTGCCCCATTTGTGGGTCATACTGACCCATTAAATTAAACTGCAAAAGAATACAAATATTCAATGAAATTTTGTATTTGTAGGGAATTTGACTGGAGAATTTTCATTGTAGGGAGGCCCAGTGGTTACAGTTCAGAGTACCAAGATTGGCGCAGAGAGGCGCGGGTTCGATCCCAGCTCTGTGCGCCAGTTTCTGGTCAGAATCGGCAAGGAGGCCGGGCGGGCAAAGCAGAATTGTAGCAGTGAGTTGCGAGTTCGAGACCGCAAAATGCTGTGAATGTTCTGCGATATTAAGAATCGGTGACAGGCCTACGGCCTAATAACGCTGAAACCGCTATTATTGTTATTATTATTATTATTATTACTATTATTATTATTATTATCATTATTATAGACTGTTGATTACGACGCAGTCGATTAAAAATTGAGTTATGTAATATATCGCACAATTTTCGTGCTTCCAGTTGGATAAGCAATTTTGTACGCATTACATATTAAGCGAATTTTCTCATTAATGGAAAAATGCACTCGTGTGCTCGTCATGTCCCTCCGTCTGTCCGTCCATCTGTCCGTGACTTCACGTTTTCGTCGACGAGAAAATGCGCTCTCTGGAAAATTATGATCATTCCAGAATTAAGGAATAATTTCAAATGAAAAAGAGAAAAATTTAAGAACTTGAAATGAGCCGGACTTCATTAATTCGCGTTACCGGAGTATAAATTCCTATAGCTACAGCAAAAGTCTGTACACGAATAATTGAAGCCTCTTATTTGGAACTCCATTTTTGTTTCACACTTACAACAGCTACAAATTCATATCAATTATTAATCTAGCAACGTGAATTTTTTGTTTTAACGAGCAAATAGTACGATTTAAGATACTGTCATCTTAATTGAATTGAATATTTCTTGTCGTTTCTTCAAATCACAAGATTTTTTTAAGAAGACAGCTTGATAAATATGAGCAAAACATTAATTAACTAATTAAAATGTAGGACCCGCGAACTTTATTCTTTCAAGTGACAATAAAGATGTAGCCGAAAATCAGCTGACGGTTGCGTCGTGTTGTTGACGTTATTCGGCGGTCGTGAGCTGCTATCCCTGATTTTGTTATTCCGATGTCGTAAAGGCATATGTGAATAATTAGGGTAATAAGGTGATAATTAGGATAATAAAAACCGAACGAGAACGTCAATGCGATGGCAGTATGCGATATATTAGACCCAACTTATCTATCGCTGATTGAGTCAATTATTGAGAATGAATCTCATTTTCTATCCGATGAGAGTGAAGCGGGCCAGAGATTGCACTTTGGCCTTGGAGCTTTGAAGGATGGACTGCAGCAAGTGGCAAGTAGGTCAACTGGGTTTGTTGATCTATATCTATTAGATAAGAGATGTTGAAAGTAAATGGAAAATTTGCATGAATAGGAAAATTATTTATTATGATTATTTTTTGTATAGGTACACTTTTTGTTATTTTTTTAAACTTTGCACAATCTTTTTTCTTTCTAATGGTCATGGATAAAACATTTCAGTTTGTAAATGCAGAGCTACCAAAGTAGGAAATGGAGCAGAACTCAGAAGCAACCTATGTATTGGACAAAATGCACCTGGATCCGGCTAATTTCATCGTTCCTATGAAGCTTACAATTTTTGAAAATCACCAGTAAAATGATAAATTTTACCATGATTATAGGAAACTTCTGCCAGATATCCCAAATTAACAGAGCTACAAACTACAAAGGTTATAATTAATTTACTCTGAGTTCTAACTATGTATATTTTTTGTAGTCTTTTTTAATGTCTTTTAATGTAAATTATGGTGATAAAAATTGATTTTAGCAGTATACCATGCATACATGTCAATGATGTCATACAGGGTACAGACTACAGCCTGAAATGGCATTTTATGGATCTATAGCTTATGCATAAGACTGATAAGAACATTTCAAATGTGCAAAATTTTTCTTTGTGAACAATCTTCAATATTGGACAAAATTTGTAAAAATCACAGGTAAAAAACAATAGGTACTTTATTCAAAAAAAGTTTAATGGGTGAGTTGAAAAAAAATTGCCAATTGAAGATGGAAATTTATTGTTTTCCTATATAGGTATTTACTAGAAAAGGAATGCCCAAGGGCCATAGAAATGGGTAAAATTTACATCAAGTACAGGTGTTTTTTTTTTTTTAATTAACAGGTGGGTTCTGTCAAATTTTCAGGTTTGGACCATTTGGTTAACAGGTTAAGAGTTCTGGTGACTTATATATGTATTTTTATGTAGCATTGACATTAGATTAGTTACTCCTTAGTACTCCATATTTCATTGTAAACAAGACTAAACAATTGAACAGCAAGATTTTCTTGTTTTATTACACTTGCTACTAATACTTTAATTTGGTTGGCAAATTTCCTGTCATAAATTTTAGAATCCCTAGATGATTTATATCAGCAATTATTAAAAAGTCTGCATAATTTTCCAGTCTGACCCATTTGTAGTCATCCAAAATTTTTGCTTATGAAGAAATTTTTTGTCAAAGTTCTTTTATTTTAATTTTCTCTATTCTGCTTGAAAATTCTCTGTAGGGTATATCTTTTATGGCAATTGTGCTATCCAAAGTTGTTAAACTTATCGAGTTGAGTTTTTCTTTTATTTTCTACTATATACATAATATTAATATATCATTAATACTAAATGAATAATAATTTTTTTAATATAATAATATTAATATATGCCATTTTTGATTGACTACTATATGACAGACTTATATTCATTCAATATTTTTTTTATTATGGCACAACTTCCAGTTGATGACTACAGAAGCTATTGTTGGAAGATGCTCTAGAATATTTGCCTTGTACAGAAGAATAAATTGTTGAAATTGGGACCATATGCCCCATTTGTGCTATGACATTCTCAGAAAACAATGTATTCTCCTGAATGTGGGGGGTTGTAAAACTAATCATGTTTGCAAATTTGAGTTTTATTGCACATAATTTACCAAGTTGCCTTTCTAAGCTGTAAATAATATTCCACACTCTCTCTTCCAGTTTGATGGTTAGTAATGAACTTTATGATTACATCTATAACAAAATGAACAAATATATGTAATGATGCAGGTCTTGTGAAGCCAGTGCGGGAAGTAGCTCCGTCATTTGACTTCTCCCCTGAAGTGCCAGGCAACGGCTTCCGCAGCCTCTGCCACGTGTGTGATGCTGCGCTGCAAAGCGTGCACACTCTCATCTCCAAGCTCGCCTCCAGCAGGGGTCGTATGGTCTTCCGTAAATCTCATTATGTTAGGCAAGTATACATACCGTATATACCTATATAATTTATTTCTGTTAAGACTTGATGAAAAATTCATTTTGCAGTGATTCACTTGGTCAGTACCTAGTATTCATTACTCAATAGTATTAAGTTAGTACGGTATCTTCTTTACTTAGTAAATTTATTTATGTTCTTTACTTAGTAATATTCAGCAATGTTCTTTAGTTGGTAATGTTCTTTACTCAGTAATTCCTATTCAGAAATATTTGTTATTCATTTAGTAATATTCATATTCATTACATTACATGAATGTTGAGATTCTTGAAGAGAAAATTTGTTAACTGCTGTTTTGACCCCTGTTTCAGTGGGAACTTGGATTTAATAAAGTTTTTGTTGAAAAACGTGAATTAATTTATATCTTCTTTTTTTTTTGCTAGCATAATATCAAATAAAGACATTTTTTCAGCAACATTTTGCATGCTCTAGTTACTACAGGTCAGCCTTTGGTTAAATTTTGATTTTGTGCCAAAATTATCAAATGACTTATACCTGCTTTTCTTTCATACCTAATAATTATTAATTTTTATCTTCATTCTTTATAAAAAACATATATTTAAAAAAATTAATTCCTGTGCACAGAGCATACCTCTTTGATCACAAATATTTTGAACATTATTTTCAAGTTTTTATATAACTTATACTTTGTTCTGACTCATCATTGAGTAAGAGGTTCTAAATTATTTCTTGCATTATTATTACTCTATTAATTGTTGCTTGATTTCCCCTCTCTGTGAGGTAGAGAAATTATATTAATTCTTATCAACTATCAGTTAGATAAAGGCTCTAATTTTTTATGCATCATTTTTGTTACCTAGTCTATTAAATATACAGTACCATATATGTGGATACATATATATATTAGTATATTTCAACACGTGTGGTTAATGGCCAGAGAATTCATCAATTTAAATTTTCAGGGTCGAACAATATTCTTCAGATGATATTAATTGACAAAAATATAATATATTAATATTAGTAGGTACATATATATATTTTGTTGATATAGGTAGTAATTTGTACTCGTGCATGTTTTCCGGCACCAGAGAGGCTTTCAATTATTTTATTTAATATTATTGGCCGATTATATGCTTTTTCTCCACCAGAGTGAGGTAGTGGCACTGAATAAATTTTTAAATTATTTTTAGTGCATAAATTTGTATAATTAATTTGTATTTATACCTAATTAGTTCATTTATGTTACTTAATTAGTGCATGAATGTTACTTAATTAGTGCATTTATTTGTATTGTTACTTGAGTATTGCATTAATTTATTAGTTCATTTTTAATTAATTTCATAATTAGGGCATTTATTTGTACTCTTAATTAATTAGTGACTTTTTATTCTTACTTAATTAGTGAATTTATTTGTACTGTTACTTAATTAGTAGGTACAATAATTTGTACTCTTACTTAATTAGTGCATTAATTTGTAATGTTACTTAATTAGTGCATTAATTTGTACTGTTACCTAAGTAGGGCATTTATTTGTACTTTAAATTAATAAGTGAATTTTTATTGTTACTTAATTCGTGAATTTATATGTACTGTTACTTAATTAGTGCACTAATTTATTAGTTCATTATTAATAAATTCCAGAGAGGTGGAAGCCTGGGCTCAGGCCCTAGGTGCACTAGTGACGGTGCTGCAGTTCACTGTCGAGTCCCTCCTGCCGCAGTGCACCGCTCCTGATGGTGACCTCATCACCATTCACTGCACCAGCAACCCTGAGCAACTCATCACCATGCTCACCAACGTGCCCCTGCACGCCTTCTATGGCCGCTGCCTTGGCTTCCATGTCAGTATCATTATTTATTTATTAATCGATTTTTTAATTGGATAATCTAAGATTCATTTCTTGGGAATGTCAACATTATTTTGTACCTGCCTTCTATGGCCGCTGCCTCGGCTTCCATGTCAGTATCATTATTTGTTAAATAATTGATTTTTTAATTGGATAATCTAAGATTCATTTCCAGGTAATGTTGACATTATTTTGTATGTGATGTAAAGCATATTTAATGCGCTTTCTGTTGCCACTGTTTTACCTTCCATGTGATTCTCATTATTTATTAATTAATTTATTTTTTACTTGGATAATCTATGATAAATTACTTTGTAATGTCGACATTATTTCGTACCTATGTAATGTAAAGTATATTTAATGCATGCCTTCAATGGCCGCTGCCTCGGCTTCCATGTCAGTACCTATAATTATTTATTAATTAATCGATTTTTTAATTGGATAATCTAAGATTCATTTCTTGGGAATGTCAACATTATTTCGTACCTGCCTTTTATGGCCGCTGCCTCGGCTTCCATGTCAGTATCAGAATTTGTTTATTAATTGATTTTTTAATTGGATAATCTTGGATTAAATTCTTGGTAATGCTGACATATTTATATACAAGTGATTTAGTACCGTATAACATAGGTATTTAATGCACTCACCATGGCTGCTGTTTTGGCTTTCACGTGATTATTAGAATTTATTAAGTAATTGATTTTTGACTTGGATAATTTAAGATTAATTTCTTGGTAATGTTGACATTATTTATATATGATATAATTCCACTTACCACTAGTTCTTGTTGCCAGTATGTGCCGTCACTATCCAGAACTTTCCACTTACTGTCACTGAGTCTGAGCGCCTTCAGTGAAGCGTATTACAGCGACGGTAACTTCTGGACCAGAACAAAGCAAAGTATTGTGGCCGGTGAGAATTACTCTATTTTTATATATTTAAATATATTGATATTTATCTGAAATTTTCTTAGGTTATATTTAAAAAAATAATATTTAAATTATTAATTATATTATGATATCTAGATATCCTTATATAATTATTAAAGATACATTTAACTGTCGTGTGATATTTTTATCTATAGAGAATAATAATCAATGCATTTAAGGTAAAAATGGCATATTTATATAGTATATAGTTTTTAAAAATGCGTTCTTTTCTATATATTGTTCTGTAATTTCCATATTCAACTCTGACATATTTCTCCATGTAGAATAGGAATATATGTATATAGATAGAACATATACATGGCAATAGGCTTCATTAATGTATATATTGGTACCTGTTTTTTTTTGTAACTGCAGTTTTATAAGTATATAGTGTTTGGTGCATTCTATATGCAACTCCCATGTAATATTTTTGTCTATGTGCAGTAGGAATCCATTTATCATTTATTTAGTAGGAATCCATTTATCCATTTATTTAGTAGGAATCCATTTATCCATTTATTTAGTAGGAATCCATTTATCCATTTATTTAGTAGGAATCCATTNAATTGAAACATGCAAAATACAGGTCTATACTCTAGCTTCACTCACCATAAATTGCTGGCTCCTGCCTCTCATAGTCTCTATGTAATTAAAAAAAATTGCTGGTCTTTTTTACCCCAGCTCTGGGGGTATCTTTGACTGGGTGGTAAAATCAATTTTATTTTTTGGTAAAATAACTCCATGCATTGTAGTAGAACTCTTCTAGTTACATATCCAAAAGAAAAATTTTAGGAAAGTGTCATAGTTTGCAAATGGGGGGCGCCACCCCCAAATGGGCAAAATGTGACCATCTAATGGCAGCCGTGACGGGGTAACATGGACCAGTTTGGAAATTAAGTTAAAATTACCATATATAAGACTCTGTAGAGTCTGAAACATAAAGAAAAAAACATTAATAGCTAGGGCTATCAAACATAAAATATGTTATATAGGTTCCTATGGTAATTTTAACTTAATTTCCAAGCCGGTCAATGTTACCCCGTCACGGCTGCCATTAGGTGGTCAAAGTTACCCCATTGGGGAGCGGCGCCCCCCATTTGCAAATTATGACACTTTTCTCAAATTTGCCTTTTGCACATGTAACTAGAAGTGTTCTACTACAATGCATCAAAACCTGGAGTTATTTTGCCAAAAAATAAAAAAATTGTAGGGGGTACTCTGACAGGCTTTAAAAATAGCTTTTTTTGTGAGTCACATTTTAATTTTTTTAACCTATTAGATATGCAAACTTTTTAAATTTTTCTATTTTGTGACGTAGCCTCAGTATTAGGCCTTTGATGGCTATTGACAAAATTTTTCTATGTCAAATGGTTTTTGAGTTTTGGGGGTTTTTGTTAAAAAACCAAAAGTGGTCAAAGATACCCCGGGAGTCAAAGTTACCCCAGTTTACGGTATTCTGTATAGACCACACAATACTGTATATTCTGTATAGACCATCCAATAATGTATATTCTGTATAGACCACACAATATTGTATATTCTGTATAGACCACACAATATTGTATATTCTGTATAGACCATACAATATTGTATATTCTGTATAGACAATACAATATTGTATATTTTGTATAGACAACACAATAATGTATATTCTGTATAGACAACACAACATTGTATATTCTGTATAGACAACACAACATTGTATATTCTGTATAGACAACACAGCATTGTATATTCTGTATAGACGACACAGCATTGTATATTCTGTATAGACAACACAGTACTGTATACTGTGCCCCCAGGTAGCCAGTATGTGGTGAGCCCCGAGCAGCGAGCGAGGCGGTTGGTGACTGTGATGCAGTACGCCGGCATCACCTTCATCAAGGCCTTCTGGGACCTGGCCGAGACCGGTCTGTGTGATGTATATTATGTGTGGGACCTGGCCGAGACCGGTCTGTGTGGTGTCTGTGTGATGTATATTATGTGTGGGACCTCGCCGAGACTGATCTGTGTGATGTATATTATGTGTGGGACCTGGCCGAGACCGGTCTGTGTGGTGTCTGTGTCATGTATATTATGTGTGGGACCTTGCCGAGACTGATCTGTGTGATGTATATTATGTGTGGGACCTGGCCGAGACCGGTCTGTGTGGTGTCTGTGTCATGTATATTATGTGTGGGACCTTGCCGAGACTGATCTGTGTGATGTATATTATGTGTGGGACCTGGCCGAGACCGGTCTGTGTGGTGTCTGTGTCATGTATATTATGTGTGGGACCTTGCCGAGACTGATCTGTGTGATGTATATTATGTGTGGGACCTGGCCGAGACCGGTCTGTGTGGTGTCTGTGTCATGTATATTATGTGTGGGACCTTGCCGAGACTGATCTGTGTGATGTATATTATGTGTGGGACCTGGCCGAGACCGGTCTGTGTGGTGTCTGTGTCATGTATATTATGTGTGGGACCTTGCCGAGACTGATCTGTGTGATGTATATTATGTGTGGGACCTGGCCGAGACCGGTCTGTGTGGTGTCTGTGTCATGTATATTATGTGTGGGACCTTGCCGAGACTGATCTGTGTGATGTATATTATGTGTGGGACCTGGCCGAGACCGGTCTGTGTGGTGTCTGTGTCATGTATATTATGTGTGGGACCTTGCCGAGACTGATCTGTGTGATGTATATTATGTGTGGGACCTGGCCGAGACCGGTCTGTGTGGTGTCTGTGTCATGTATATTATGTGTGGGACCTTGCCGAGACTGATCTGTGTGATGTATATTATGTGTGGGACCTGGCCGAGACCGGTCTGTGTGGTGTCTGTGTCATGTATATTATGTGTGGGACCTTGCCGAGACTGATCTGTGTGATGTATATTATGTGTGGGACCTGGCCGAGACCGGTCTGTGTGGTGTCTGTGTCATGTATATTATGTGTGGGACCTTGCCGAGACTGATCTGTGTNGCAGACACTCCCCCGCCACTCCCCCTCACAACCCACTCATGCTCACCACTCACAGCCCTCTCATATAGACCCCTCACAGCCCTCTCATATTGACCCCTCTCAGCCCTCTCACAGGGTCCCCTCACAAACTATTCATATAAACCCCTCACAAGCCTCTCACATAGACCCCTCACAACCCACTCATGTTGACCCCTCTCAGCCCTCTCATATAGACCCCTCACAACCCTCTCACATTGATCCCTCTCAGCCCACTCATGAAGCCCACTCAAATTCCCCCCACACTACCCCCTCCCCCTGTCTCTTATACACATCTAGATGTGTATAAGAGACAGGTACTTGACTACTTCATCTTCAATTATTTTATCTGCGATCACTTCATCACTGCCGTTGATTAAGACCACTGCCTCAAGAACACACGCTCCTTTGTTATGTTCATAACCTGTCTCTTATACACATCTAGATGTGTATAAGAGACAGTGCCAGAAGTGTGCACGCAGTGAAGCATGTCCAGGAACCACTAAACCAAGTTAATTGGATCAAGTCTTACTTGGATCATCAATGTAAAGTTGATCTAATAGTAATAGCCTGTTTAAAATAGTGATATAATATGTTTGTATTCATAT